ATGGCCAAATTATGCACACAAAAAAGCCAAATTATGCAAAAATTATGCAAGTTACCGTAACACCTTTCGCAACATGTTTTGCACTTTTTCAACACAAATTTTCATGACTTTTATGTTTTAAGTACAGAAAAATTTTAAACAGAACATATTAGTATCAGTAATTTGTAGTGAATTTGGAAAGAAAACAATACACATCTGTAAAAAAACAAACAAAAAAAACTAAAAAATATAATCTCTGTAAATTTCACTTTCACTTTCACTTCAGCTGTAGATCTAGATGGGAAAGAAAAATGTAAAAAAAAAAAAAATGTTTTAAGGACATCTGGACCTCTGATGCTGGCACATTACTAAAACCAGGAACACCTGTCAAACATGAAGCATCAGCAGACATGAGAACAACAACTTTTGATGGATTGAAAAATTGAACATGCTCAATGAACAAAATCCCAAACCATAACCAAGATCTTCTACCAGGGGAAATAACCAACTCTTCACTTAAATGAGACTTATTACGGTGATTATTTCCCTTTAGTCACATGGCGAGGCGTTAATTAATAAAATTAATTGTTTTGTTGTTTTTTAAAGGAAAAAAACGTGAAAAAACGCGGGGAATCCAAAATTATGCAAATGTGCAGAATTACGTGAAAAAAACGCGGCCGCACAATCGCATAATCCTACGGGGACAGATATAGAGCAAAACCATTCAATGGACTTAAATAAAATGACATACGGTATCAGACAAATTCCTTTTAGCTTCCAAATATTATGTTCAAATCTGAAACGTAAAACTTCAGTATGGAGGAAGATATATTTACAAAACAAGTTGTACAGGTTGGGTTTTTTTTATCACCCTGTATTATGTTTTTGAATTGAAAGTCATCTCATCATCTACAACTTAGGGACCGTTCACAAATGACGTCAACTAAAATTTGGCCAAAAATGATCCCCTCCTCCTCCCCTGTCATCTCCCCCCCACCCTTATTGACGTCAACCAAAATGTATATTTTACTAGAACCTGTTCTAATCTAGCTAACTACAACCAGCCTGTGCTATGAAGAGATAACTATTAATTTTAGTTTTTAGAGCCAAAAAAATAATATGGTCCAATAACTGTTAATTTTAGGCCAAGAAAATGTGGTTTATAATATTTTTTCGTTGCCCAACCTTTTAAGGACCCCCCCCCCCCCCCCCCCTTGTCAACTTTCCCCCCGACGTCACTTGTGAACGGTCTCCTAGACAGTAACCGGATGGCAGAGAGTGTAAAGGCGCTCCTTTTTTTGTACATGGGCAAAACCTAGGGGTATGATATAATGGGGGTTGGCAGGGGTACAATGAGGGATGAGGTTTTACTTTAGGCTACACTACCGGTACTACTACTAGTAGTACTAGTGCCTTTCCCAAACAATGTCTGGCAGGCTCCGCTCTGTCACTACAGACTGATCAGGAACGGGACCTTTTTACCATTATTAAAATTATAATTGCAAAATTGGGGCATCCTCGCTATTTTCTTGGTTGGACAGCTCTCATGTGTATTGTTTCATTTACAAATACACGCAGTGTGTTTTGCTCAAAATGAACGGACAATGGATGAACTGTGTGCCCCCTGATCTTACAAATGTGTGTTATGTCACTTTGACAACTTGTCTACACTTAAACTTATACTTTTTCCAGTCTGAAACTGAAAGTCAGAAAGACTGGCCTCTGTGGTAAAACAGACTTTTTCCAATCAAAATAAAAATAAAAATCACACTCAAATAACCAGTTTGTTTCCTGAGCAGAGAGGTTTTTCTGTCAAGCGGTTCTTTCCGTCTCCTAGAATGCTGTATGCCAGTCAGTCAGCCTGGGTTGCCCCCACGGGTCTCCCCCCCCCCCCCCCCCCCCGGCAGTGCCACTGACTGTAGTGTCTTTAGGCTTAGGCCATTCCCAAAGGGGGGACATTTCTCGTTCAAGCGCAGTAGAATTGTAAATGGGCTGATTCATGTCACGCTCATAACTGTGCCTGATCTACAACAGGGAACTGCTGCTTTTTCTTTCCTAATCCTTACTATTGTCATTTTCCTCTGCTTCTTTTGTATGTTTGTCACTCTTGTGACCTGCTATTTCCGGGGTGCCTTGATAGTTGAAGCAGACCTTGTGCTGTTGAAGCTAGAGGGGTGAGCAGAGAAAGTCTGATTCCCTGTAAAGACTTCTCTGTTGACACCCACCCCTTGGCGCTCATATGACCTTATCCAGTTGCGAGTGCCGTAAAACCCTCTACTATAATATAAAAATGCCCCCATAGGCAGGGTCAAAGCAGCCTCTACTCTACTTCGCATAAACTTAAACTATCTACATGTAAATTTTGTCAATGGGGGCTTAAAACGAAAAATACAAATTTAGTATAAGGTCCAAAAGGTGAAGCGTGGGGAAGGATTAGGTCTTTGTCACTTCACACCACTTTACTGCTAGATCTACCACTCTTATACAATGTAATGAAAAAGTAAAAATACAGTGGAGGTCACTTAAATTAAACTGAACATTAGATCTAATCCGAAAACAGCAATTGATCCACATTTTAAAAATTCCATTCCCTTTGCAGCTTCTCTAAATCTAAACCAAAAGCACAGATTTCAGTTTACGCTGACTCCACTGTATTGTCATTTTTCCAGTTCCATTCCCTCACTATGGTGTCCTGCCTCTGAATGAAGTGCTCTGCCTTTGAAATGAATATATGTTGTACAAGGTCTCTAGTACTAAACAAAGTAAGGCAACTTCAAGAACAACTGTTTTAGTTTACTGTTACTTTTACACATTACACTCATAAAAACTTTTAAGACGATAGGAACAAATAATCATTTAATTTAGGGTCTAAAGCATTCGCATTCTTTTAAATTACTTCAACTTCTGGAAATCTGAACTGGTGCCTGTGGTGCAACGGTTTGGCGAATTACTATTGCAAGCAAGAAAGCTGAGTTCAATACCTGAACCTGGGAGTAAATTTTTTTCAAAGTAGGCCTTCCTTGGTCTTTCTCCTGAGTAGAATGTTGTATCCCCCTCAGCCCAGATTGGCCCTGATACTGACAGGCACTGCAACTGCAAAAAGCCCGCCTCCTAAATTATCTAAATTGTGTCGATAGGGGTGTAAAAAACACCTTCTTTCAAGAAATTTTTTTTTTTAAAGAAAGCTGATAATTATTTATACAACTCAAAATTATTGTGTTACGAGGTGATGTACACTCCCCAAAAAATGTTCTAACAGCACTTAGAACTACTACAGTAGAACACGGGTATTAACAGACTTTTGGTTCCAGAAGAAAAATACCACTGTAGGCGAATTACCGCTATAGGAATGCACAGGGGAAACCCGAAAATTTTCTAAAAATCAACACAATTACTTCTCTTCCATATATATATAGTCAAACCTGTGTAAGACGGCCACCAATTGTCAAGGAAAAAAGTGGCAGTATAAGACAGGTGGCCGTCTTAGGCAGGACTGATCAAGATAAAGAAAACAAACCATTCCCATCTGAGGCCCCAATCGAAAGTAGCCCCATTATGTTGTCTTTGTTGGTGTTGTTGTTGGTTTGTATTTCGTTTGTAATTTTTCTTTTGTCGCTGATTTTCCACAAGGGTGACAATAAAACGAAATGTATCAGACAAGGAAGACTGAGTGCCATGTTAAAACAAACACATGGGTCGCCACCACTCGGAGAACAAGTGGCGCTTCTGTAACAAGTTCATGTTGACATCCTTTGTTACTTTGTTACAGACTGGGTAAACAGTGACCACTCATCTCACGTACGATTTGTGTATGAGTTCTGGGCGGGGCTTATGGGTTATGAGGAATCACACGCTTACCTCACCAGCAGCTGAAAATTGGTAGCTATTGGTCAACAGTGGGAGGGGCCTACGCAACATGATCGGTTGGAGGGACTACCTAACATCAGCGACAGGTGATTGAATTATGACGGCTCGCCCACAACGCCAGGGGCCAATGCACAATTTACGACAAAACGTAATGGAGTCACCAAGGTGACCGTCTTAGACAGGTGTTATTGCTTAGTATGATAGGGGTTGTGTGTTAAATTATGGTGGCCGCGGCGGACAGGTGCCCGTTTTACACAGTTAAATTATATAGAAAAAACGCAAGGGGGGAAATGGAAAGTGGCCGTTTGTACAGGTGGCCGTCTTATAGAGGTAGCCGTCAGGGCAGGTACGACTGTATATCAATAAAATTCGCACTCTAGTCTTTCTTTTCTTGTCAACTTTGTTGATTATTTCGGCCTTTAATTCAAGTGAGAAGCATTTCCTTTTGACTTTGTGCTTGTGCTGCCAATCATACCGGTAGGCCTACTGTAGAACTGGTGAAGTGGATGGTATGCCTGAGCATCAAAATCAACGATAGCAATGAAATCATCAAATCTCTCCTCTTCTTTTACTTTTTGGCCCGGCCTATGGCACATCACTTTTGGAGGGGCTCATGTAACGCATCTCTCCGCACCATCTCTCTGACGCCTGCCTCACCACACTTATCACTGAACTGGCCAATCACAATGCCGCACCGCTGACTGTCAGTTCGGGAGCCTGCCTACCGCCACCCCCCCCACCCCCCAACCACCCCAGATAAAGTTCAGGCCTTTCCTTGCCCCATAAAACCCAAGCATAGGTAACTCATGAGTTATCATAGAAAAAAAAAAGGATATCGGTACAGTCCCCCTGCAGAGTGTGTCATTACCATGTTCTACTGTACTACTAGTACTAGTGTTATTAACATGTAATTTTAAAAAACTTTTGCTGGAGACAAAAGTGCAAGTCTCATCTCAAACTAAAAAGTTAACTAGGCTTATTTACCGCATAGGCAGCACCGCCTCCCACTCCCAAGTTGAAAAAAGATGAACTTCAACAAATGTTGACATGAAGTGACGCTTATCAGAACAGTGATAGCCATCATGTCCTTTCATTAACAGAAACAGTTCTAAACAAGGTTACAACACCACAAGTCAATCAACAACCAAGGCATAGTCATCAGGGACAACCTTCATTTTAATGTTGTTATGTTACAAATTCGAAATTCTACTCTTCAATTGTATTCATTCAGCATAATCATGAGTACCAAGGATCCAGACACAGACATCGCCCAAGCTTTCTGTAAATACTGCTACAGCAAACACCTTGCACATCTCCAATCAGACAGCGGGAACAGTTTATCATGACACTGAAAATTTAGTCTGAAAGAAAAGAACAGAATAAAATAATTACAAACGATTCCAAAGACACAATAATTTTTTGTGAGGCAGCGTGGAGAAATCTGGCGCTCGTCAAAATATAGAAATTGGAGAAACAAGCATTTTCCCACCAATTTGGACATTTTTATCAAAAGTGTATTTTTGGTTCAACCTCTTTTATGTCTATATATATAAAAACACATTTCCATGTGAATTTTACTGAAAAACATTTAAAGTAAAGGCACAAAATATGTTATTTTTTAGTTTTCAAGGACTCTTCAGCTAGCTATTGGAGTTACCAAACTTTGGCGGTAATTTTCTCACTAATTCACTACTGAAACCAGGCGACCTCACTTCCTTCAATACCAAATATCTCGAGATCTATTTAAGATAGTTGGATATCTATTTCATTGAAAGCAAGGCAAATAAATCAGCTTTTAAATGATATCAACAACTCCACACCACATGCCCAAAAATTGACGAGCGCCTGATTCCTTCCAACACGTTGTGACATATTTGTAGGCCACAATCTTACTATTTTTAGGTCAGTTAGTATCATGTTGGGCCAAGAAGCTGGCCCTGGTGGAATCCCCAACGGGGAGTCCTGAACTTGGGTTGTTTTGGGGAATTTTTTAGGCTTTCAACTCTCAATCCATTTGGCTCTGTCCTGTCACATCAAAGATGGACATTAAATTCCGAGGTCCGTCCGATTCAAACAACCTTACAGTGTGGAAAGGGGCATTAAAATAGGCCTACAATGATCAATTCAATCCTCCATGAGGTGTTTATCCTTTTCAGAATGAGAACAAATGAAATTACAGTAGAGTTCACGAATCTCGAACACAAAAATCACGAATTCTCGGGTATCTCAAACATGATGATGCTCGGTCCCGTTTTAGTCCCTGTTTCTTTGTACTGACTTCACAGAGTTCCCGAACACTTGGAACACGCAACACTCGAATCTCAAACAAATCCACTTCGCATTTTCAACTAAAGACCTGGATTTACAGCCCTTTTGACCCCGGGTAGGTGTTTCTGTTATTGTTACGGCTAAAACGTGGTCCTCGTCTCACCACGAGAGGCTGGAGGAAGGGGGGTTGGGGAATGATGCTAACCACACTGCATGACTGACTCGCCACGTGTGCAATCCTGCTGTGGGACGCGCACTGTGCGTAACTTTATGTAAGCCAATGAAATAAAAGGAAAGGAATGACTCAGGAGTAGGAGTGCACACACGAGACTTTCTGCTTTCCACTTTCATTCATCTTCTTGCTTTCACACTATCAATACGTTCATCAAGGGAGCTAACCACCTTAATTGTTTTAATGTTCTTTTTTTTATCTCCCTTGATTTTCTCTCTATTTCTCTGTATCTGGGGCTTTCACGGACATGACGAATTATGGAAATCTAGAACACTTGCCCCGAAACATGCTAGAGTAGACACACATGCATGTGCCAACAACACATGTGTTAGTATAAAAGAAGGCCTCTGATTGGTCGCATGCAATCGACTAAGTGAATAATGGTTCACGATGGAGGTGCAATGGATGGTTTCTGGGAATAAGAATAGATAAAGTTCGTTGCGGGAGAAAAGTGAGCGAAGCCATATCTGAAGGGGACTGTTCACCCTGGAAGCGACCTCGTTGAATCCAAGCTTGCTGATTTAAGAGTTAGCTGAATCAGGGTTATTTTTTACTGATATTAAAGAAGATAAGAAATGGGGAATCCATCTCTTTTCGTTGAATCCGAGTTTCTAAAAAATCATAAATTTCTTTTTTAAAAAGAGGCTTTTGCTACAAGATATTGATAAAATTATGACTAAATGACAACAGAAATTCAAGTGAAACTAAACACTCCCATGACTTTCATGAAAGCTAAAAGTTTGGTACTTTATTGTTCTTTATGCAACAATAAAGCAGACAAAACATAAAAAAGGATGAACACAAAAGCATTTCACTTTGATATCTCAAACTACACTTACTGATCTCATCCTCTTCAAACTTTTTGCCATAAAAGGGAATATTCGTCGCTATCACTTTCCAGTCTGTGACGTAGAGACCAACAGCAGTCACAGCGGCTGTATACAGTCCCATGGTAGGGCCCCTGAGAAAATAAAAAAATAAAAGATAACTTATAATTTGATCATGTACATCAAGTCAGTAGCTCTAGATGTTCGTCCAATGAAATTATAGAACAAATTGACCCACTTAGACATGAGGAGCTCGAAAGGAGCTTAGACAGAAAAGCCACGAGACTGCCGGACTTTCTTTGGTTTAGCCAAGTTTTTCAATTTAGAGAGGGTTGCTAAATAATTCATCAAACAGCAATGAGTTGGGAATGCCATGCTTGCAGCAAATTTCACTTTTTTATGTGAATCATTAGCTTTGAAGAGACAATTGGCCATGACCAAACCCATGGTCACGCAACCGACGTCCACATTTTGCTATCTTTGCTTCCCTCTATATATGTCAACGAAGAGTGTAGGCCACTGATGTGTACATAGACACCAGCACACTGGGGACGGCTCTCTCACCCGCACTCGACCAGGGGCAAAGCGTCTATATAATCAAATAATCACTGCTTCCCTTCCTAATTTTGAAACATTGTCGCTGTCAAATTCATCCATAAACGTAAACCTCTTAAATTAAATGTAAAAAGACGTTCGTAATCAACAATGAAAAGTATGCCTAACATTCAAAACGGTTTCACGGCCACGGAAATAGCCTCCTCACCCCTGTCGGGCCACTCCATAAGCAGTAGCAAGCTTTGGTTAAGTAAGCTTAAAGTGATGCTGGAAGAGTCTACCAATAGAGTTGAAGGGAACATGTGCATAGCAGTCAAAGCTGTTTCATTGCCACATATACCCTGTTCACCCCTTTGGGGCTACAGTTATAATCAATCACAAGCCCTGATTATGTAAGCTAACTAACACTGGTCGAGTCTACCTCACAAATGTGAGGGGAACTAACTCCTAATAATCTCTTGACTGCTGCATGTGCTTGTTTTTTCCCTCGACTTTTTACCGTCCTATAATCAGATCGTGATCTCGATTATGACACCAGCTCCTGGCCGCGAAAGGCTAACAAAAACAGCCAAATGTGAAATTTAAAAAATGATAATTGTCATGTTCTACCAAAGAGTTAGACTCACTCAACTCACTGATAGATCTATGACATAGATCTAGTACTGACATCTCTGCTTCTTTGCTTTGTGTTTATGTGTTCACATACAATACGCAGTTAAACAGAGCTCAACACCGGAAAATCCAGCGCACAACAGCATTTTTAAAACAAATCCAGAAACCATAAGCAAATTCCAAAACAACAAAAAACTCATCAAACCCTTCGGCCTCAGAATCCTTGAGGACCTAAAAAAATTACACTTTTCCAAACAAGACATCCAACAAATTCTTTTCCCCAACCTCCCTCCGTGGCACCTCACCAAGGCAAAAGTAGACTTACAGCTGACCACACACAACAAAGAAAGCACAAACACCAAAACTTTTCAAGCAGAATACAAAAAACTAATAGATAAATACCCCGGTGCGGAGCTCATCTTCACAGATGGCTCCAAAAAAGACAATGAAGTGGGCGCCGCAGTCCTATCTTCCAACAGTGACATGGCACTGGACTCCGTAGAAAACTCTCCTTACAAATCTTTCCTCATCTTTTCTGACTCTCTGTCTTGCATCACCTCACTCACAAACTACACACTCTTACATCCAAAAATAGTTAAGCTACAACAGAAAATTCATACACTACCCGAAACAGGAAAAAACATAATGTTCGCATGGATACCCAGCCATGTGGGCATCCGAGGAAACGAGCAGGTAGACGACCTGGCGAAGAAAGCTTCATCCCTTCTGCTGGGATCAACGACAAACACTCTCCCACAGACTGACTTTAGAAATAAAGTCAAAAAGTACACCTCCAGTCTGTGGGAGAGCCACTGGGAAAACCAGAAAAATAATAAACTATATGAAATAAAACCCAAACTAGAACAGCAAAATCCTTCGGACCTCTCCAGAAGAGACGAAGTCATTTTTACTCATACATACATAAACAAAGTTAAATTCTATTTTAGTTAGAACTGATATTTAATAAGATACTTTCCGGATTATTATGGCGGTTGAACATACAATATGAATTCCGGATTTGTTTTCATTCACAACTCGCCGCCTCGAGTAAGATTCTTGTGTGAATATCTACAGGCCATTGATCCCGTTTCACTTTGATTACCCTGTCAAACAAGTCAGCCTTCGCCCCTGCACTCGACACATGTCAAACAAGTCAGCCTTCGTCCCTGCACTCGACACACCTGAATTATCATGTCGCTTTCTTGTTTTGCTTTGAAACGTGCAAGACTTACATTTTTTTATGCTTGGTAGTGAAAAATTAATTAAACGACATAACCCTTGAAATTCTTTTCAGTTTAGAAATGGGAGCATTTCAGCTTAGAATCGATTACCAAGTACTAAAACAAAGAAGAACAAACTGAAAACCAAGCTCTATAACAACTTCACTGTATAAAATAAGAAACGAGAATTTGAATATAAAAATTTTGGAAGATGTCGTCAATTTTCCTACAGAATCTGTTGTTACGTGGTCGACTTTTTTTGTAAATATTTTTCTATACAGTGGGTGTCGCATTCAACGAGGTTGCCTGGACCGGCTTGTTGTCCCCGTTGAATCCGTCCTCTCGTTGAACGTGACTAAGGCTAAAGAAAAGAAAGTAGACAAGTTATTATATTACACGATGTACCAATACCAGTAATTAAAACAGTTGTTCACCCTGATGACGAAAACCCCAAACAGCATCAGTGTGCGCATGTTTGAGTTGTGTTCTGACAGTCATTTCTGAATTAACTCTTATCCTGCGTCTGTGCCCAGATGCGTATCTTATCAGCAACCGATTACGTTGGACGTGCCGGGCAGGCCGCCGGGGTCACTCGGTGTGTACTGTTGGTGTACAGCGCGCGCGCCGGGAAACGTGTGTTTTCGCCATGAATACCGCGGGAGTGTGTTAACTGATGATGAAAATAACGCTCTATCCTTCATAGCATTCTATTTATAAAGTGTTACAAACACATGAATAACCCCCTCTCACAAGCTGATAAGACATTACGAGTAGTTACGCCCATTTGAATAACCTTTCTGGACGCTCTTGTTGTTATGAATGACCTGAGGTTCGAAAAGGGATAATTTTGGTCAATTTCCGAATGTTTTACACTCAAATTGTTCTTTGTACCTGCACAAGTATTCAAAACTATCAAACAAGCTCATTTTTTATCAGGTAGTATCATTTCATACAAAATCAAGCTCATTTGAAATATTTTGTATAGAAAAATGGAAGTCTTGTTTCCTGACTATCCTTTCGGGCTCCTCATGTCTAAGTGGGTCAATTTCTTCTATAATTTCATTGGACGAACATCTAGAGCTATCAACTTGGCATGTTTTGAATGAGACGTATGCCTCGATTACGAACCAACGCAGGTGGTTCTAGAAGAAGGCCACAAACGCACACAAACTCAAGCTGACTGACGCACACACACTTGACCTGCATGAATGGGGATCCGACTCGGGACCCGAATGACACGTAAGAGGATGCGCGCTGCGCGTGCGCTGAGCCAGGAGCTACACTGACTCGGGACCAGAACGCAGGCGAGGTGCCGAAATAGGCTTATCGGGCTACATAAACCCGGCTCCCGCAGGATGAGGGTTAAATTGAATTTTGTTTTCCCCGGAACACTTCTCGACTGGAAACATTCTACATTTAGGCATAGATCTAGATCTACCTAAAGTAAAGGCTGAGTTTGGATTTTCTGGTCAAGGGAGGAAAAGAAAATTGAAGAAAACGGATGTTTCGATCTCGATCTAGACCTCCTACCCATCCCGAGTTCATCCAGTTTCACACAGCCCGCATCGCATTCCCACCCACCTCCTCCCATTCTTATCGTAGGCTAACCCTCGCCCATCCTCTTGGCTTTGGGGCCCAGGAAACAAGACTTCCATTTTTTATACAAAATCTTTCAAATGAGCTTGATTTTGTATTTGTATGAAGGACTTCATTCGTAACACTTTATAAAGTTTATTATAAAAATAGAAAGCCATAAAAAAGATAGAGCATTATTTTCATCATCGATTAACACACACATGCGACTACACACAGGGCGTAAACCGGGCTACGATTGGCTGAACCAGTGGGTACTCTGGGAATTCCCGGTTTCCGTCTCACGCCTTTGACCGTCTTCGAACGGCAGGTTGAGTGCTCAGGAAAGAAGAAGAAGGAGAGGAAGAAGGAGGATCCGAGGTGTAGATGGAGCAGAAAAAATGAAGAAGAAGAATGAGGAGGAGGAGGAGGAGGAGATGAAGAAGAAGGAGGAGGAGGAGAAGAAAAATAAGAAGTAGGAATTAGAGGAGGAGAACAAGAAGATGAATAAACATAGAAGAAGAAGAATCTAGCAGTAATACATCATGTTACAAATTGGGGACTTTTTCGTTTGTTACCCTACCTTGGGAAAGAGGGCTGGGGGGTGGCGGTGAGAGTGACTGGGAGGGTGTCGACAGTAGCCTACTGTATGTAGGCCTAATGAGCCTAGAATGTATTCATGGGTCACAGGTTCAGCCAATCGTAGCCCGGTCTACGCCCTGTGTGTAGATGCATGTTTAACACACTCCCACGGTATTCATGGCGAAAACACACGTTTCGGTCACGTGGTCAGAGGGGTATCCTGGTCTGACGTCAAACAAGATGGGCGCCTTACCTACAAATAGATCTAGATCTAGTTTGCGTCTTTCTACGTTTAATCACATGTCGCGCACGCTGTACGGCCACCTCTATTCTCACCCGGGATGAGAATAGTGCAGGCGAGTCTTTTGGCTTTCTCACCCGGTGCGTGTTCACCGTTATAGCCTAGATCTAGGCCAACAAATTTTGCGTTCACCCTAAACCACAGAATTCTACACTGCGATAACAGAAACATTGTAGAATTCTGTGCCGTGAACAAACGTTCCATTACAACTGTAGCCTAGCCTACTAAAAGCGTACAATTTTGTCTGTGGGCAGTGGAGAGAGAGAAAGATAGAGAGAGAGGAGTAGCGCGAGAACTTCCGATCAAAACAAAATGGCGACCTGCGTAGTTCGGCTCGATTCGAAAAGTTAAATAGCTGTAGCATCTTTGTAGACAACCAAATTAATTTACTTTTGTGTTTTAACATCATTTTTTAACTTTGTTTTGGTCAATTTGATTGTCCACACCGATAGACAGTATTCAGAAAGAGACAGAGAGAGAGAGATGGGGGAGGAAAAGATCTTGCGAGAACTTCCGGGCAAAACAAAATGGCGACCCGCGTAGTTCGGCTCGATTCGAAAAGTGAAATAGCCATAGCATCTTTGAAGACGATCAAATTAGCTTACTTTTGTGCTATAACGTAATTTTTTCTTGGCTTTTATCAATTGGATCATCCACACCGATAGACAGTATTCCAAAATGAGGAAAAGCAGGTCTTGTTTCGCACCGGGTGAGAATAGCCTACGCTGGCAATTCTCACCCACGGTGAGAGGTAGATCGTTTTTCTATTCTCACCCCGGATGAGAATAGCCACGCTGTACACCAACAGTACACACTGAGTGACCCCGGCGGCCTGCCCGGAACGTCCGACATAATCGGTCGCTGATAAGATTCGCATCTCAGCACAGACGCAGGACAAGAGTTAATAAAGACTTAAAACAACTTCTCTGACCTGAAGCCCGAAGAATCAATTTATAAACAAGATTGAAGATTGCTACTTCTAGCCTACAAACTTTTTGTCTCTTTCTGATTTCTACACCGACTACTGACTGGAATTTGCACAAACGTGAACATGCTAACGTGAACAACTAAAATTCAGAAGACAACACTACGTAAAAAGACGATACAAACCAGTTTCTGAAGAGTCTTGAAGCCAACGACTGGATCCTTGTTATCTCAGACATTTTCGTTCTCGGCACGGCGAATAGACCTTAGAGGTGACCGGAAACAAAAGTCAAAAGGAAACGCAACCGCAGTCTAGAAATAGTAATCGATAACAAATCTTTTTAGCATGTTAAAAAGTATGATCTTAATAAACCGAAGAAGGGCACCGAAACAAAGAAACGGAAACCCATTTTTTTTTTTAGAATGGCAAGAATGGAGACATTCACAAGCAAAATATCAAAAGATTGCATCCTCATTCACTCTCTCAGCCATGCACAAATACAAACACACATCATACAAACAATTAATACACCCCACAGAAACAAGCCCATATGCGAGCAGCCACACACACACACACACACACACACACCCTCACGCACAAACAAACACACACACACACACACACACAAACAAACACACGCGCGCGCGCCGTCTAGGCCTACAGAGGGGAATCATCGCACCTGATTTTTTTTAGGGTGCATATTTTTTTTTTTAAATTCTGACTTTTTCTTGTAATTCCGGTGATGCTAGTCAATCTGTCAGGTGTACATAGACATGCGAGGTTGGCAAGGACATTAAAAGATTAAGTTCTAAACTCCTTGGAGGTTGGAGATTTCCTTCAGTTTATTCGATTCTATGTAACGACTTTTGTATGCCTATTCAAGCAACCGCGCCATGTCAAAGGAGGAGAAATTATACATGTGCATCCCAACTATTAAGCTTCGTAACGCTAGATCTAGATCTATGTGTAATTAATTTTGCTATATTTTTATATTAAATGACAATTACCGTTATAACAATCTCATTATGCCTTTGTAGCTGTTTATATTCTAATTGTATTTATCTAAACAGAACTTAACTTGCTTGTTAATTATGCATTGCGCAAACCAATTTGTCCATGAAAGACTTCATTTAATTAATGACTTGTAAAGATAAGTTTATTCACAGAATGTTAATTTTTACTATAACGGTTTAAAGTACCAGAAGGTGTATGTTGTCTTTTGAAGCGGATTAACTCGTATCGCTTTTGGTCTTTTATGTACCGGTACTTTTGTAGTCTATATTTTTTGTTAATTAAGATTGCAAGAAACGTATACATTGTAAGCTTCTTTTTTTTTTTTCATTCCGCTGTTGCTGTTTAAAGTGATCTTTTTTTTCGCGAGAACTTATTATGTCAACCAGATTTAGAAACAACTATACTTTTTGTCGGCTCAGTATTAGCAAAGATAGTTATGTACTATCATTGGTATTAGCCAACAGATGTGTTTTGCTAGGGTACATCAATTCCGTCGGTGTTTCAATTTCGTCGAAACACACCTCGTTTTTTCCTTTCCCAGCTCTTATTCAAAATAAACCAAACTTTCAGCCTATAGACCCTAATCAAATTATCGTAGGCCTATTAAAAAACACATAGCTATAACAGCCTACTGACCAACCAAATAATTCGATACATCAGCCAACGAGACACAGGTCCTATTTTGCAAAGCCAAGATAGACATTACGATGTCTGTTTCGATTCCTTAATTCTAGCAAAAATAAACAATGTCATAGAGAGATTTTGTAAAACACTGTGGCTTATCGATCGTGACGCTGATCAACAAATAGAGGTCTATTAGACTAAAATTGAACACTTTTAAAAGCTTTAATTGATACGTCTGAACTGAATATAGTTGCCGGATATTACAGTTTGTGTGTTTTTATTAAGGAATGGGTGTGCGTTTCAATTTTGACAACTGCGTCTTGTAATTTTGTCATACTTTGAGTGCATGAAGTTAGCAAAATAAAAGCTCGCCTTTTATGGCCATAATAATGTTAAAAAACAAACGCTGTGGTAAAGAAATAACAGTTCATTAATATGCACTACATAATAATAAAGTATACTATTACTCAAGTTACATGAGTAAACTTTTAAATTTTATGTGGCTTTTGAGGTATTGGAAGGGTCGAATACCGACTCCGGTGGATGGGCGATCGGGCGTGGCTGGCAATTTTGGCTAAATCATGTGAGAGGGTGGTCAACGGAAACTTTCGATGATAGGCTTGATTAGCTTGCTTTGTCTGTCTAGGCCCTTAAAATCGTTTTTTTTTTCAAAAACCTCTTATGAGTAACAAAAGCAGGCGTTGGTATTATACAGTATTCATTCAGCTACGTTCTTTCAGTGAGCATATCTACAAAATGATACGGTCATCTTTTCCGACTGTCCCATCCCTTTCCTGCCCCCCTAGCAGATACGAAACAAACTATAGGCTTATTTTGTGGCATCGGGGTTAATTGAACTTCGTAGCCAGAGAACCAGGGAACTTATCCTTTTTTCACACTCTGCCCCAAGGAAGTGGAATAAATACTGTATTTTGTCTTATATATTATATCTAGGTCCTATTGTCATCGTTTTCAGCCATGTGGGTTTGCTAGTTGAAAGATAGAAAATCTAAGAAAGATTGTAAAAATAATCACAAAAGTGGGTACCGTATTCCTAAACAAATCCATTGACCGAGAACGTCAAGAGTAGCCTTAATTTAAATTTCTATCTCTAGAAGCGATGTGCAATATTTTGACGAAATTGCAACAAGAATAATACGGCGAAATTTGAAATATCATGACGAAACTGGAACAATTGGCCACGCGCTATTAAAACCGTTCTTTCTGAAGCATCAGTTACGTTTCTGACAAATAGCATACAGGCCTATTTTTATCTAAATATTTTT